TTCTTGTGCCTTCTGCCAGCATCAAAAGAACAGTAACAATCTAACTTATTAGCTTGCAAGTAGGGTAAAATCTCAGACCTTTCACAGTTCTTGACAATGAATAAATAAAAGGGAAAGCCCATCCTTACAGTGGAATGCTAAATAATACAATGTAGAAGAAATTATAGATTTAGTAAATCATTAAAAATGTTAAAACTAGTGGGTGAGATCTGATTAGGAAAAGGATATTTATGTAGTCTCGAAGTGTCTCCCCACAAATTACTCATTAATTACAAAGGAAAAAATAGGAATTTTGCAGTGGAGAAATCTGGCAGACACTGTCTTAACCAGGTTATCAAAGTTAACATCACTGATTCTGGAACAAGATATCATGTACCACCTGGTATAATGCATTGAGAAAGACAAAATCCTATGGTATTCCTCCTCAAAATGTATAACCTGAACCTAGTTATAGACAAGCCCAAAACGAGGGACACTCTACAAAACAATTGGCTTATATTTTTTAAAAACATTGCCAGGCTCTGTGGTGCATGCCTATAGTCCCAGCTACTCATGAGGTTGAGGTGGGAGGACTGCTTGAGCCCAGGAGTTTGAACAAGTCCAGCCTGGGAAACAGTGAAACGCTGTCTCTTAAAAAAAAAAAAAAAAATGGGGGGAAAAATCATGGGCAAGAAAGAAAAAGAAAGGCTGTGAAACCGTGTGATTAAAGAAGACTAAACAGACATAACAACTAAATACAAAGCATTATCCTGGATTAGATCATGAATCAGAATTTTAAGAAATAACTATGAAGAATGTTTTTAAAATGATAAACTGAATATAGACTGTAGATTTGAAAATAATACTGAATCCATATTAACATTCCTGATATTGATAATTATGGTGTAATTATACAGTAGTCCCCACCCCCATCCATAGTTTTGCCTTGCCTGGTGGCTTCAGTTGCCCATGGTCAACTGCTGTCTAAAATATTAAATTGAAAATTTGAGAAATACATAATTCATGCGTTTTAAATTGTGCACCATCATGGGTAGCATGATGAAATCTCACGCCATCCCGCTTCATCCTGCCCAGGACATGAAATCATCTGTTTGTCCTGCATATTCACGCTGAATACACTACCTGTTTCTTAGTCACTTAGTTGCTCTCACAGTGATCAGATCTACTGTGATGGTATAACAATGCTTGTGTTCAAGTCACCCTTATTTTACTTAATTATGGCCCCAAAGCACAAGAATAGTGATACTGGCAATTTGGATATGCCAAATAGAAGCCATAAATTTTTTCCTTTAAGTGAAAGGTAAAAGCTCTCAACTTAAGGGGAAAAAAATCATATGCTAAGGCTGCTTAGATCTACAGCAAGAACAAATCTTCTATCCACGAAATTGTGAAGAAGAAAATAGAAATTCATGCTCCGTTCACTGTCATACCTCAAACTACAAAAGATACTGCCACAGTGAGTGATAAATAATTAGTTAAGATGGAAAAGACATTAAATTTGTGGGTGGAAGACAGGAACAGAAATGTTTTCCAATTGACAGCAATCAGGTTGAGTACTATCCACAGTTTCAGATATCCATTGAGGGTCTTGGAACATATCCCCAAAGGCCTGGGGGTAGGGGGACAACTGTGTAAGAGAAGGTTCTTGTTCTTAAGAAATAAACACTGAAGTATTAGTGATAAAGGGACATGATGTGTCCAACTTATTTCAAATAGTTTAGAAAAATTTATTCATATGTGTGTTATATACGTGTGTGTAGAGAAAGAAAGAGAATAATAAAACAAATATAACAATTGGTGAATCTAGATAAAGGCCATAGAGAAGTTCCTTGTTCTATTCTTAAACCTTTTTTTTTTTTTTTTTTTTTTTTGAGACAGAGTCTCACTTTTGTTGCCCAGGCTAGAGTGAGTGCCGTGGCGTCAGCCTAGCTCACAGCAACCTCAAACTCCTGGGCTCAAGCGATCCTCCTGCCTCAGCCTCCCAAGTAGTGGGACTACAGGCATGCGCCACCATGCCCGGCTAATTTTTTGTATATATATTTTTAGTTGGTCAATTAATTTCTTTCTATTTTTAGTAGAGACGGGGTCTCGCTCAGGATGGTTTCGAACTCCCAACCTCGAGCAATCCGCCCGCCTCAGCCTCCCAGAGTGCTAGGATTACAGGCGTGAGCCACCGCGCCCGGCCAAACCTTTTTAAAAATTATATCAAAATAAAAACTTATCCGATCCCCCCAAAAACTAAATAAATAAAGGCAAAAGAATTGCCTTGATTATATTAGACACTGAACATCACACTCTTGAGATAAGATGAAACATAAAAGAAAACATAGTCAAAGTGCTGCATTTTAAAGCATTGTTCATTTTATACTTCACAATACCATGTAGCTTTGTCAAAAATAGTAACTACCTTTACTTGAATTTTTTGAAGTAAAAAATTACATATACATAAGTGTATATGCTATAGCTATATTTCAAATGTCAGCTCTAGAACAGATAGCAGAGTAGTTAAGAAAAGAGCTCTGGACCCATATAAACTTAGGTCAAAATCACAGTGCCATCATTTATTAGATGGCTAATTTTAGGCAAGTTACTAAACCTCTCTGTGCCTGAATGTCCTCATTTTAAAAATGCAGATAATAATAGTTTCTAACTCTTAACATTTTTGTGAAGATATCAAAGGACAACACATGCAAAGAGCTTGGCATTCAGAACATGAGTGTTGCTCTTATTTTATTTTTTTAGAAACAAATATCAAAAGAAAAATATTCTTTAACCTAAAAGACAATGAACTGAATGCCAAATCTCTTCTGAGATTGAGGTTATGATCTGCCTCTTACCAATCTAAAACCAAAGAAAAAAAAAGCTATGAGTCAAAGGGGACCAGCTCAGAGCGTTTAAAAACTAAAATGTAAATAAAACACAAAATTCCTTTTTACAATTAGATTCCAATGTTAAAATGTTTCTAGAATAACATATTATTTTAATGTATTATTGAATATTAATATTTTTAAGATTATTAATGTGTTATATAATTCATTAAAGAATATGAGAGTGCTTTTGATTCTACTTACTTTATTCAAGTATACGTTCAATAGATGAGATTTAGATTTTTTTTTTTTAGACTAGTCAAGTGTACTAGAGAGAAGGTGGGAGATTTATATATTTTTAAAAAGTGTCTTTAAAACACCTGCTTGGATTTCCATAAGGAAGAAGTACCTAACTATGTGGAATCTGCAAGTATTTTTAAGAGTCACAGTTAATGAATTTTTACTGAGTAATAAGGTATTGAAGGTAAGAAATCATAAATTCTGTTTTGTTTTGTTTTTTTTGTTTTTTTGTTTTTGAGACAGAGTCTTACTTTGTTGCCTGGGCTAGAGTGCCGTGGCATCAACCTAGCTCATGGCAACCTCAAACTCCTGGGCTCAAGCAATCCTTTTGCCTCAGCCTCCTGAGTAGCTGGGACTACAGGCATTAGTCCTGGCTAATTTTTTCTATATATTTTTAGTTGTCCAGCTAATTCCTTTCTATTTTTAGTAGAGACAGGGTCTCACTCTTGCTTGGGCTGGTCTCAAACTCCCGAGCTCAAATGATCCACCCGCCTCATCCTCCCAGAGTGCTAGGATTACAGGCGTGAGACACCACGCCCGGCCATAAATTCTGTCATTTATCAGAATTTATAAACTCCTATAAATGCCTTCATAGGCCAGCCATCTGCAAAATCCAATAGACATAAATCAATAGGGATGAATGAGACCACAGTGACCAGACCTGAAAAGTACTCTGCCTAAAGGCATTCACATTCAAGTTTTGTTTCATTTTCAAACACTGTGCCACATTCATTCAGGCTGAGTCCATCTCAGGGAGCACATGGTTTTGTTTTGACCATTGAACTCAGATTTTAAGCCCTTACAACCTTTATGATATATGCTTGTGTGCATGTGTGTTGTTTTATAAAAATAGTAAAATGAAAGATTTCTAAAAATGAAATTCATGCACATTAAAAACATTAGGAAATTTTTCAATGACTTCCAAAAGGCAATTATATCATTAAAGATATCCTAAATTGGTTATCTCTTCCCTTGTACTCTTAATTAAGATACACTTTTATATGCCATAATATATAATCTTTTAAGATGTCTAACACTCTGAGATTTTAAGACTTCATGATTGATGGAACAAAATTCCTTTATACTAGTAACAACTAAGTACTCATGAAATAATTTAATTATTACAAAAACATTGAAAATTGTTGAATTCATTCACTGCTAAAATGTTTGGCCTAAATATTTTGATGGAAAAAAATTCAGTTTGTATTTTTAACATGATACAATGTAGCATTTACCCTACTGAAATATCTGTCAACCATGTTTTTAAAAATATTTTTAAATAAAATAGCAACCCTACCTTTACTGACTTCTTTCTAGATGTTCTCCAATAAGTGCAAGAGAAAAACAGAGTATATTTAAGTGAACAATATCCATTGCTCCCAAAGTCCAAAGTAATTTCTTCTGCTGCTGGATTCCCTTGCATTTGCATTATTATTGTTTTATACTATTAAACATATTTTGATATGTTTTATCTTCTCTATTATAAACTACATAATTGCAGAAATATATATTACTCATTTTCTATCCTTATTAACAAGCATTCCATACTTGTACAGAAAGTACTCATAAAAAAAAATCCAAGAACTTTCTTTTTCCCAGGATTACAATGATGATCTCAAGTTAAACTCTTTCAAATTCTGACATGAATTGAGTTCTTACATGAATGACATTACTATGCTTTTAAAAATTCTCTATAATTCAGAGTTCTCAGCATCAGTAGCTGGTTATGTTCATGTTTAAGCAATAGTATTCTTAAATAAATATGGCAATAACTATAAATTTCAAGAAAGAAAAACCTTAAGCATGTTACTTAAGCCTAAAATTAGTTTTAAACATTTATTTGAGAGAAAGATAAGTTTTTAGAAAGTATTATTTACAATCATTAAGTCTTACCTGAGGATTCCAACCTGGATCTAAATTTTTAACTCCTGCAATATATTCCTGCATTGCTTGCCTGGGGCTTGAATCACTGAGTGCTTTCCATGCTTCCCTACAGTGTAGAATATCCAAAATGACATGTCATTAACTATGCAAATAAGATGAACAGCATATTTCTTTTTATTATTAAAAAATTTTTAGATACACTTCAAGGGTATAAATATATTTCAAAGGTATAGATGTGGAGATAATAAGCTATGCATAGAGGAGAAGCCCTCTCTTTTGGCATTTACATTGGTCTATAGCAATACAGACCTTATCACTCCTAGGTAGCCTGTTTTGGTACTGTTTTTCCTAATCTGCTCCCCCCACAAACTTTTGATAACACAGATATACCACACATCTGTTGAATTTTAGAAGACTACAAAGCATGGTAGACTACAAAGCATAATCTAAGATTTTATCACTCCTCAAAACCCAATTTTCACCCCTGTAGAGAATGTAAGTAAGGTCTACAGACCAATAGAGGTAGTTCCCATCTTATGAATTAACTGTACTTTTGGCATTTTAGTTGTATGGAAACTAATCGTCACACAAAAAAGCAATATTCCCTGGAAAAATGTATCAAACTTTTTACTTCAAAATGCAAGAAATCCACCTTCCCTTTCTGCTGTTACCTCATCTATAAGTTACCAATAGCCAATCCTGAGGCCTCGGTCAGGGACTTCAAAAGTGAGGGATGGTGAAGGCAAAAATAAGAATACTAGTGAATCAGAAGGTATAGTATAAACACTGAAAGTAAAATTTCAGTCCTGAGTCCCCTTTTGGGTCACTCCTTTCTTTTTTTCTGCAGGCTGCCACAATAGGCCTCATTAGTTTTTCCCTACCAATTCCTTCTACTTCCAACCAGGGTTTCTAAGTCCCTTAGCCACTGTAAAACAGAACTCAGTTCCACAGTTTTTTCACTCTTCTTGCTCTGATGATGAACATCTTTCTAAGGTTTCTAAATTTATTTTCATTCAATCTCTTGAGAGTTACTTGTATACATTTTAACACTCTACCCCTAAATATATCAGCTTATATAAACTCAGGAAATTTGTCATCAATACCATTAGATAATATGGCGACCACATATTCAGATAACCCTGATTGTCCCAATAATGTTCTTTATGGCTTTCTTCTCCTAGACCAGGAGCCAATCAAGATTCACATATAGCACTGAGTTTCATATATCTTTAGCCTTTTTGTCTTCCATGGTATTGACATTTTTTTAAGAGTCCAAACCAACTGCCAATTTGGATTTGTCTTTTTATTTCTTCACCTACTTAGTGTTCTTGTCAAAAATGATTAAAACCAGGTTAAATATTTCAGCAAGAGCAATATGTAGGTGACATGTCCTTTACAACCCACCACATTTGGGGTTTGTTCCCATAGGTTTGTCCCATGATCAATAAGACTGATGATTTGGTAAAGGTAGTATCTGCCAGTTTTCTCCTTTGTAATTAGTTAAGTAAACCATGGGTCAGCCTATAACCCAGTTTTGTCCCCCAATAGTTTTTCATCTAATGTTTTAGCATGCATTGATTGATGATTCTTGCCTGAATTATTATTATGGTGGCTATAAAATCTAAACTTGTCTTAATTGCTAAAAACAATGGAGAAACAGGCAAAGCACAGGGAAAAAATGAAGTTATAAAATTTCATAAATTAAAACAAAAAACTCACAGTAAAAGTTACATCAGGCATTCTCTAGAACAGTCAGAGATGCCAGTCAGAGAACTGTTTGTTATCATCAACCAAGAAAACTTGTGCCAGAATATAAATCAATGCACTGCTTCCTTCACTGAGAAGGTCCTACACACAAAATAAGTCAGCTGAACTAAACATTGTGGTTAGTGACATAAGTGATTTACATCCAGGTTCAAGCTCCCTATCTCCTTACAATTGGCAGACAGGCAATTTATCCAGGGATCAAATTTTGTGTAGGATTGCTCTAGAATGTAAAGTCAGAATCCATCTTTTAAGCACTTCCCTTCTTCACAGCCATATTTCATATATATATATATTTTTTTTTAAACTCTACCCTTCTACATTTCTTTTAATTCCAGGACTGATGCTCCAAAGTCTTCCCTTGTATAACTAAGATTCCCTATTGTATGCAATTTCTCTGTTTTCAGTTAGACAACGTAAGAGAACATAAGGCCTCATAAATGATAACACGAAGCCTCTGAATTATAAGTAAAAAAAAATTGGGGGAGAGCATAATCTTTTTACATATTCAGAGGTAGACTCAGTATCTTGTTTTGGGGTTTTTTTACCCCTTCTTTCAAGAGGTTATTATAAGCACTGTTTACTGTGGTGTGGGTGGGGCAAGGAACAGAAGAATATCAAGAGACAAGAAGATAAAATTGGAGCAGGGAAGTAGAAGAGTGAAAAATGGGGATTTATTCTGCTCTTCTCCCTTATCATCCTCCTGGCCTTCTTCTAAAGATCCCTCCAGAGGGGAGAAGTAGTGACTCATTAGGGGCTATATGGTAGGAAAGGAAAATCTCAAGTAATAGCTTGTTATGGTTACTCTCTTACTATAAACATGTAAGGAATGTATGTCTGTTGTGAACTACTTATACACCAATATCCTGGCATGAGAATACTTTAGGAGACTTAGCTAAAGCAGATTCTTTTAATCCCTCTCCCAGTTGCCTGTCATTAGGACAGTCTACAGCAGAGAGAGATTAATATAAAAAATTCTTTAATCAGCTCAGTACTTTCTAACTCCTAAACACCCAAACCATCCCCAACCACCTCACTAAAGATTCTAAGAATTTCTTACCATTTTTGCTTTCCTTCAAAATCAAAGAAGCTTGGTTTAGGAGTATTGCAATTTCCAACTTTGACCTAAATGAGGGGGCAAAAAAATCAAAACTTATTTTTCAAAGAAATGTCTGAGAAACTCTTTTCAAATGCATTATGTATATTTTGTAACTATGTTACAAACATTTACATCTATATGGAATAACAAAATTTAATATCCTTTGCAAAAGCAAACAAAAAAACCCAAACAAATCAAACTTTACATAAAGCTGCTTTGGCTTACTGCATAAAACAACTGTTATCTAATACCATAATACAGAAATAATATGGGTGACAAACAATTGCATTCCTAAATTAGACTAATTATACATCAGACAAATTATCAATATAGACTATGTAATCTTTATTACCACTTATAATTTAACTTTTAAACACGCAATTAACAACAAGCTTTTTAAAGTTCAGTTGATCAGAATTCATAAGATTGTTCCTTTATGCTGAGTCTCATAACTCTATTAGCATTTTATCTCTCCAAAATTCCAGGATAAAGTATACTATTTTAAAAGTGTCCAATTATCAAATTCATTAACATACATTTAGATACCAAAAGCCATTCAAAAAAAAATTTCAAAGGTTCTCAAGAACAATATAAATTCTATTTTTCCACAATAATCTTCTCTTATTTGTGGTGAATACTTATTTTTAATCCTCAAATGAAATTTGTAGTTAAACTATAGAGTGATAATTTTCATTGTGAATAAGCATAAATGAAATTCATACAAGTGCAGATTCATTATACAGCCAGATTCCCACTGCCAGAAGTAACCTCCCTTCCTTATGAACTCTTATAGCACTTACTCTATATATTTCTGAAGGTACTTTTCACTTTTTCTACCTTGTGTTAGAAAGTTTTATGTAAAGCCTCTACTAGAACAGAGCCTCTGTTTTTAACTCACCCACAGTACCTATCTACTTCTAAGGGACCTTCCCACTACCTCCTGTTACTCTTAAACACTTGAATTTTGCTAAAATCTAACTGATGCCTTTATCTAACCAGAATGATATACTTACTGACTTAGGGATTTTTAGTTTGGTGTTTTGCTCGTTATTCCACTCACCTGAAATGCCTTCTCTTCTTCACTCAGCTTTTCAAAATGCTACACCTCCTTCCAGTCCCATTCAAAATTCAGATTCTAAGAATACTTTTAATCTACAATGATCTCATCCACCTCTGAATTCACAGGAATTGTCACCTCTATAATTTGCTTAGTAATTAATCACATGGCCCTCTAGCTGTCATTAAAATGTACACTTACATAGGGCAGCCCTGTTATGATGGAATGGAGGGAAGAAAGGGTAAGAGGAGCTGCACTTCTTGAGCAACCACCATGTACCAAACACTTCACGTATGTTATCTCACATGAACCACACAATAATCCCACAAGGTATGCCATTACAAACTCATTTTATAAATTAGGATAGAGAAGCTCAGGAGGGTTGTCTCAGTTACACATTAGTAAATCTAGAATTAGTCGTCAGGATTTAAATCTAGGGCTGTTTGATTCCCAAGTACAATCTATCTTTACTACATATCATTCTGAATTAAACACTAGACTCCGGGCTTCAGTCTGGCATCTGAAATCACATGAACTACTAGATTATTAGAAATATGAAATGAGACAAACTATACAAACTATAAGACATCATAAAAATAGCAGTTATTATTATTTTTGTTTTTTATCCAGAGGCTAGCCAGTGGCAGAAATAAATGTATTATGTTCTCAATTTCTGTTCTCCATTTCTCCTACAATAATAGAATTCTCTAGCTGGACACATGGTAATCCAGCTAAACATTATGTGTGGCCTTAGAACTTCTCCCTAGGTTCTGGGGATTAAATGTGTGCAAAAGTAATTAAAAAAAAACTTCCTTAAAAAGAAAAGGGGCATGTCCTCCTCTTTTGCTTTGCCCTGGCCAGAACATGTATGTGGTGATGGTAAGTCACCTTAGACCACGAAAAAGAAACTCAGGGCGGCAGTTTTCAAACTTTTTGGTCTCATAATCCCTTTACACTCTTAGAAATTAAAGACCCTAAAGAGGTATTGTTTATATGGGTTGTATGTATTGATATTTACCACTTTAGAAATTAAAACTGAGACATTTTAGAAATATGTATTAATTCATTTAAAAATAACAATAATCCCATTACATGTTAGCATACATTTTTATGCCAAATTCCCAAATTTTAATAGGCATAGTTATCTGTAAATTGTTCTGTTAAGTAAAAATGATGTTCCGTGGAAAAAAGGAGAAAGTTCAGTTTGCAACTCAGAAATTACACAAGTACTTCTCCTCAAAGCAGCCAACATAATTCAGTATGCAGCAGAAGTGCCTTGTGTGTACCTCCCATCTCATCACAAAATATTTAAAAGACTTGTCTCAGGGCTAATATTTAATGAAAATAAATTTTTACTATTTCATCAAAGACATTTTTAGGTGAAACTGGAGTTCATTTTTACTCTGAGTATATGGTGGTAAAAAACATGACTACTAACAGTTTGCTCCTACTGCCTTGATTCACGCTAAGGCATTAGCAGTTTTATCCATCATAACAGCATAGGAAAAAGGTAAATAGTGTCTTAGCATTATTATAAAAATAATTTCAACCTTAGGGATCCATGGACCACAGTTTGAGAACTGCTGCCTTAGGGGATGGCTGAGCAAGACAGAAAAAGCTTAGGCTTCTGGATGATCTCATGAAGCAGAGCCACCCTACCAGCCCTGGATCACCAGGTCATTATGTGAGATGAAAACAAAGGTTCAGCAGCTGACCTTGTAACCTAACTGACACAGAAGCTTTTATAATTCCCAAGTTCAAAGAACAGTCTGGATTCAGATAAGATTGGGAGATTAAAACAATAATATTTTAGGACATCATGAACAGCAGTTTTCAATTCATGAGATAATGAATTGTAAGCTATGAAGCAGAGGTATAAAATGTACCACTTTAACAGAGCATCTAAATTCTGTTCTCTCTGACATATCCAGTGCCCTTGAAAGACTATTTCAACAAAAGGTGCCAATGACAGATGCCAATGAATCAAGTGTGCCCAGGTTAAAGTAGAGGGCATGCTAAATATTCTCACTTGTTCTGTGCTGAAGGCTCCTATAAAATGAAGTCAAAAGGAATGCAAAATTGTCATTGCCCTACAGTTTTCACAGGTGTCAATTAGTTACCGTTTGCTGGAATAGTTTAGGCAGAGGGACCCCACGGAGAGACCAAAAAACTGTTAATTTGTTTGATCTTTTTGAAACTTCATTAAAAGATGATTTTTAAAGTCACAGACTTATCTGAGACCAAAAAAGCTATGATGCTAGGTAAGTTTAGAGCTCTGCCTAAGAAAATAAGTTCATATCTCACCTTAGTTTTATTTTCCTGCCAACAACCTTACCTCATTCAGCCTAAAAAATAGGGTGCTATTACAAATACATGATGTTATTATTTTATGAAAAATTTTAATCCAACATGCAGAAATTATATTGGACTTTCAACTTTACTATTCTATCAAAGATGCTTCTTTCAACAGAATTCTGTTCAAATACAACATTTAGGAAACTGATGAAAACGGTGGCCCTCTGTCAAATCTAAGCAAGCATAATCTTATTCTCTAATAATGAAGAATTTTCAGATACAGAATATCTCAAGAATGTCAAGTTCTTGAAAGGATATGGGACACTCCTCCTTCAGACTATCTGGATAAAGTGTATATACCTGATACAGAATGGTTGCCAGTTGAAAGGTGACTGCAGTTCACTGATAACTTGGAAATCAGATATTTAATAATGACAACACTAATAGCGATAAAGAAAGAAAAACAATGTTCTCTAGGGAGTTTGGAGAAAATTAGAATTAGAGAATCAGCATGGACATGTTACAGGTCCTAGCACAATGCTCAATATTATACTTGTTAAATAATCAAAAGTTTCATACTAATGCTATTAGGACAGGCTAAGTGACCAAAGAGAAAATAGATATCCGGAACTTTTGCAAGAAAGAGAATCCTAAAGTTAATTTGGAGGCAATTTTCATTAAACTACAATTTATACCGTTTGTTCCTACTAACCTCTCAGGTCATTTGTTCCTGAGCTAACCTCTCAGGTCACATTAACCAATGTTCATAACAATGATCATCAGTTTTCAAAAGAAGGTTCATCTATATTCAGAATGTTTAGTTAAAGAATACTGGAGGACCCTCCCTCCACAATTACTTTTTTTAAAGAATACAAGGGGAAATAGGTAACTATACCAAGAGGGAAAAGAAGATTTAAAATTTAATAAAATAAAATAGGCTATTATCCAGAACTCCATTTCCTCCAGTATTCCAAAGATCTGGAATTTTCCTGAACTGTTATTCCTGTCAGTGATTTTTCACATGTTTAAATCCAGACTCCTCAAGTACTCTGTAAGCCTCTTAAGTGTTAAATGTCAAGATGATTTTGCTTCTTTGCATTCTCTGTAGGCACAACACCCAGGTGTGTTGCACACAAAAGATGCTGAACAAGTATGTGCATAAAACGATAAAGCAATTATTTTTCCTTCTAGAACCTAACCAATGAGTCTTTGAATGATAAATTAAACACCCTAAATGAATTAACTCACACGTTTCTCTATTTCCAAGTAAAGTTCAGAGCCTTAGAGCCAGGAGCTACAATCCAGTTCTGACTGATGTATCTTTATGATCTTAAGCAAGATGCCTACTCTTTGGGCTTCAGTTTCCTTTTCTGTAAAAGAAAAGGATTATTTCATCTGGTGTTTAGTAGCTCTAAAATTGTTAAGATTGTATTGAACCGACAGGAATATATTCGACCACACCATAATCGAAGATATTTAGGGTTTTAAAAAAAATCGTAATAATAAAAGTAATACTGTATTTTTTATTGCATCATTTATTTATTACAATCATATTATTCTCTTGGATCTAAAAATATTTGTATTAACATTACCATATTTACTTCCGTAATGGCCCTTTGGTAAGAGTAAATGAATGATAAATCTTATCCTCATTTTGTAAAGGTTTGGAGGCCAGTGAAGTGCATTGAGTATGTCGGAAAAGACACAGAAAAACTGTCATTCAGTGTCCAGCTAAATAACTATCACTTCTAAGATAGCAGACGGATCTTTTCCGCGTCCAGAATGATGCTAAATCCCAAGCAGATGATCCAAATACAAAACAAACAAAACACACATACACAAACGTCATTACACCTAGCCATTAACCATACATGTTTGCTATCAGGCTTTGGAGGTCGGATGTCTTTCTCCTGCATCCACCCCTTCCCTGCCACTTTACCTGTTTGTACCTGGCATACAGGTACAAGAGCTGCTCTCGGCTGGCCACCTGAATCAGGCCCTGGAGGTGCGCGGCAGCTTTCTCAAACAGCTCTGTCAGGCGCCTGGACTCCTCGGTCTCAAGGCTATGGGGGGATTCCACTTCACAGGAGTCATCCTCCGAGCTCAGCTCCCCGCCGCTGTCTCCTGTGGTGGCCACCGCAGGCAGGAATGGTGAGGCCATGTCTCCTTGCTTGGTCAGTCCCTCTACGTCAGGTCTGTCCTCCTTATACCGGGTGTAACGCCGGCTTGGGGCCCTGGCCGACCTGTCCGGGTCCTGAGCCCGAGCTCAAGTGGGACCCGAGCTCGCTCACTCCACGCTCCCTCACGTTACTCTGCCTCCCGCCCACTTCTACTCCCCGAGCGTGCAGGGCAGGCTCCACTACCCTCTGCTGCTGTGTCCAGTTCACCGGGTCTCCTCAGGCTTCCCTCTGCCTAACACTGCCCTTGGGGTCGCCCGGGGACCCTCCAACGGCGCGGCGGTCCCAGAGGAAGCACGTCAGGGAGTAAGAGCGGAGAGGCACGACGCGCGGCTGGCGAGGGGCCGGCGGGGCGGGGCGCCGTGCGCGCGGGCGGCGTGCGCGTCTGCGGCGCGCCACTTGGTTGGGCCTCTCAGCGCCGGTAGCGGAGGTCTGGGTCGTCCTACCTCGGACGCCCTCCCCTACAGGGAACTTGTGCGGTCTCGCTGAGGGGAAGCTGGTTGGAGAAACTGCCCTCAGTTGTTAGGGTGCCTGTTAATCGCTTCGTTGCCATTAGTAGTTCAGTACTCCGGAACCCGTTGTCGGGATAGGCCAGCGGGGGTGGGGGAAAGCGACCATCTACTTGGCAGTGTAGCTATATGAGCGGAGTCGCGGGAAACGTGGAGCTGAGGATGAAGGTTCCGCCAGCTCCCGCGGACCCTAGGTTGTGTGCTCCAGGCGCCCCCAAAGAGGCATATGCGTGTATCTATTGCTTCAGGGGTTGGCTCTGTCTTCAATGGATGAAAAACTGGGAGATGGGGCTTTCACCGCCCTACTGTGTGATTGCTTAGTGTTTCGCTTTCCACACCTGCGGAACCTCTCTCTCTCAGGACTCTGAGAATAGGCTTTGAAAGGAATAGGCTTTAGGGAGTGGGAGTGAGCTCCTTAGCACAGTTCTTACTCGGAATTCTACCTTTGCCACTGTGCTTTGGAGACTTTAAAATGAAACAAAAAATTACGGCATAGTCCTGCCCTAAAGGAACTTACAAAATTATTTTTTTAAAAAAAGCTATAATAGTCTAATAGTTAATATTGATTCAGTGGTTATTATGTCCTAAATGTTGTAAAAAAAAAAAAAAAGCTATATATTCATGTATTCAAAACAATGAAATAAGCACCATAAGAATGGTACAAAGTGTTAAGAATGGTTATTTGCCATTTGGGGTTAGGCTCACAGGTGGAGAGGATAAGGAAATAATGAGAAAAGGTAGGGAGGTGAGAAAACCTGGATTAGGAATCAACAAATATTCAAGTATCCAGAATGTTCCACTGTTAATCCCTGCTATCAAAGTACTCACAATCCAGTCATGGGATGTCTAATGGCCAAATTCTTGCAATTTAAAAATGATAATAATAACTTATTGAGTTACTTACTGTTTAAGAGACCTAATCTGTGCTACATAAGGTAGGTACTCTTATTTTACACATAGGAAATCACAGAGTAGTTAAGTAATTTGCCCAAGGCTGCACAACTAATAAATGGAGGAGCAAGGAAAAAGTCAGTTGTAAGTCAAAGATTCGCCTGCATGTGGGGTAACAAGAGATGACAAACCTGAAAAGTAGTATAGATTGAAGGGGAGATGCTTGTACTTTTTTATCTCTCTGTTTCTTGCATTTTTATTAGAAATGAGAATTGAATATTATTAACTGCTTTGTTAGCAGCTCTGGAGATTGTTTTTCTCCTTTAGTCTTTGAAAGGAATTATTACTAGAGTTTCTATTTTAGTTAATTATAGTTAACTTTAGTTGACTATAGTTAATTTTAGTTAATTATATTAACAAACATATTAATATGAATTTAAAGAATTATATTAATTAATATTGACAAATTAATATGAATTTTAATGTACTATATTAATAGACTTACTAGTTTTAAACAATATTTCTGTTCCTAGAATAAACTAATCTGGCCCTGCTTTTTTTTTTGTATTTGAAGGTTCAGTTGACTAATATTTTCTTTAGTATTTTTACATCTCTATTTAAAGATAGCTTTGACCTATACTTTCTCAATTTTGTATCAAGGTAATAGAATCCTTGTATTAATAGAATGCGTTTAGAACTCTTCATCTTTTTTTGTATACTGGAAGAGTTTAAATAACATGGGAAACAGAGCAAGCAGAATTCTTTTACACTGCTGGTGTGAGTGTAAATTGGTACAACCACTGTGGAAAAATGTTTAGCACTATCTACTAAAGCTGAACATAAATATACAGCAATTCTACTCCCACCCAGCAGAAATGCATAAGTGACATTCACCAAAAAGCATGTACAAGAACATTTATAACAGCACTATTCCTGATTACCCTAAACTGGAAACTTAAGAATATCCATGAACATAGAATGGATAAACTGTGGTGTGTTTGCATGATGAAATACTATTCAGCAGTGACAATGAAATAATTTAATGACACAGATAAAAATGAATGAATCTCATAAACATATTGAGCCCAGGAAGCCTGTACCCAAAAAAGTACAAACTGTATGCTTCCATAATTTTTTATTTTTTCTGTAAAAAGTTCAAAATCAGGTAAAACTATTCTGTGGTGTTAGAAGTCAGTATAGTGAGTAGTTTTGGAGTTAGTGACCTGAAGGGGGCCTAATGGTGACTTCTGGATGTTGGTAATGTTTCTTAAACTGAACGCTGGTTTACAGGTGTGTTCATATTGTGAAAATTCACTTCAAATTATGTCCTTTTCTGTATATACATTGTATTTGAATGAAAAATTTAAAAATAACCTGTGAGAAAGGAAAAAAAAAAGCCCCTAACATTTAGAAGCTGGCCTGGCATTCACTGCTAGGCCATGTTATTCTCCTTTTAGATAGAAATAATCTCACAAATACCAATCTCAGACAAGGTGACTCTGAAACCATGATAAAATGAGACAAAGCAAAGCACTTCATTAAGTATGTCTAAGCACAGACAAAAACAAGGTCACTTTGCCAACTACAAAATACCAACACCCTTTTTCTTAGCCCAAATGAGTGACTGCTGCTTCTTTACCAATTACAGCTTTATTCTCATGTTAGTTTCTTCTGCGGATAAGATGGAGATACCCAGTCAGAGAATTGTCCCAGCTTTCTCACTGTGTCCAATCTAGACCATATTCCAGCTTCCTTAGGCTGTCCTTCACATCACCAGTCAAAGCCCAAATACCGGCTGGGCGCGGTGGCTCACGCCTGTAATCCTAGCATTCTGGGAGGCGGAAGGATTGCTTTGAGCTCAGGAGTTCGAGACCAGCCTGAGCAACAGCAAGACCCCCATCTCTACTAAAAATAGAAAGAAATTAGCTGGACAATTAAAATTATATAGAAAACATAGCTGGGCATGGTGACACATGCCTGTAGTCCCAGCTACTCAGGAAGCTGAGGCAGGAGGGTCGCTTTTGCTCAGGAGATTGAGGTTGCTGTAAGCTAGGCTTACGCCACGGCACTCTAGCCCGGGCAACAGAGTAAGACTCTGTCTCAAAAAAACAGCCGGCGCCAGTGGCTCACGCCTGTAATCCTAGCACTCTGGAGGCCGAGCGGGTGGATTGCTCGAGGTCAGGAGCTCAAAACCAGCCTGAACAGAGCGAGACCCGTCTCTACTATAAATAGAAAGAAAATTAATTGGCCAACTAATACATACAGAAAAAATTAGCTGGGCATGGTGGCGCATGCCTGTAGTCCAGCTACTCGGGAGGCTGAGGCAGTAGGATTCGCTTGAGCCCAGGAGTCTGAGGTTGCTGTGAGCTAGGCTGCCGCCAGTGGCACTCACTCTAACCTGGCAACAAGTGAGACTCTGTCTCAAAAAAAAAAAAAAAAAAAAAAAAAAGCCCAGATGCCACAGTAGGGTCTTTTTTAACACCTTGTTACCAAGACAGCCCATGGTTCTCCAAGGTATGTGTTCTTCCTCACTGAAACCAGTAAGAACTCCAATTTGATTAACTACAGGTGTGTTCTTGGAGGTCTCTGGCTGAAGGGCATTGACTTGAGAATGTTTTCTTTCTTGAAGATTTTATTAAAATCTCAAAGCTACTGTGTTTCCCCAAAAATAAGACCTAGCCATAAAATAAGCCCTAGCAGGATTTCTAAACATTTGCGCAATAGAAGCCCTACCCCGAAAATAAGACCTAGTGATGGGCGCGGCTACGCAGTGCATCTGCACAACCCATGCGTTTAGTCTTGGAGCAGCAAAGAAGACAAGCAGCCCTTCTCATCTGCCCCATCGTGACAACTACTATCCCAGAGGTGACCAGAAAGGTGTGGGCAGCCCCACCAAAAAGGTCGGCTCCTCCTGTCAGGACCTGGCCATCCTGTGCGTGCTGCAAGCTGAGGCTTTGAGGGGAAAATGACACATCCCCTGAAAATAAGCCCTAGGGTGTCTTCTTAAGGAAAAATAAATATAAGACCGTGCCTTATTTTCGGGGAAACATGGTATCAGGATCTGGTGATATTGAGAGGATAGATCTTTTATAATTAGTGTTTCCATTCAGGAATTTCTTGGGAAAGACAGTACAGTTGTCCCTTGAACAACATGGGTTGGAATTATTTGGGTCCACTTATCTGTAGATTTTTTTTTTCTCAATAAATATATTGGAAAAAATTTTGGAGACTTGTGACAGCTTGGAAAAAATCACGGACAAACCACATGGCCTAGAAATAGTGAAAAAATTAAGAAAATGTTAGGTATGTCATGAATACATAAAGCATATATAGAAAAAGTAGTCTACTTTATCATTTCCTACCATAAAGTATATACGAATTTATTATAAAACGATTAAAATTTATCACAACTTACACAAACACAGACAATACATTCGGCAGTTTGCAGTTGAGAAAATGTAAACAAACGTAAAGATGCACTATTAATTCATAACTGCATAAAATAACTGTAGTATATATTGTACTTCTGTAGTAATTTTGTAGTCACGTCCTGTCACTATTGCAGCGAACTCAAGTCTTGCAAGTACCAGCTTAAAACGACTGATCGTCTCCACATCAGCAGTTCATCTCTTTGGTAAATTTGCACTAAAAAGTGATCTCTCAAGGTTCTCACATATTGTTCATCATGTTTAGTGCAATGCCATAAAACTTGAATAACACCATGGGGTCCATATGAAGTGCCACCAGTGATGCTGGAAGTGCTCCCAAGAAACAGAGAAGTCATGGCATTGAATTGCTTGATAGGTACCGTGGAGGGAGGTCTGCAGCTGCTGTTGCCCACCATTTCAGACAGTTTGTCTTGTAAACACACAGTATCGATAACTACAGTGCAATACTGTAACTGTATTTGCTCTTCCTTATGATTTTCTTAATAACATTTTCATTTCTCTAGATTATTGCA